CATGTGGTGCGTGCAGGCGCGGCGGCGCGCAGTGGGCCCGTCGCTGCACCGGCGGTACCTGGAGACGATGGTGGACACGGTGTTCGCGAGCAGCACACAGCACCTGGTCGACAAGCTGCGGCGCAGCGCGGCGCGCGGCGAGGAGGTGAACATGGAGGCGATGTTCTCGCAGCTGACGCTGGACGTGATCGGGCTGGCCGTGTTCAACTTCCAGTTCGACTCGCTCTCGTCCGACTCGCCGCTCATCCAGGCCGTCTACACCGCGCTCAAGGAAACCGAGTCGCGCTCCACCGACATCCTCCCCTACTGGCAGGTGCGCCCGCGCGCTGCGGTACAGGTAGGTGAGGCGGTTGGTGATGCAGGGAAGTAGGGACATAGCCTGGTGCTGGGCTGACCAGTCATCAGTGACTCAAACGGTGTTATAGGCTCGCAGCGGACGTAATGGCAGGGATAGCGGGGAAGGTACGATTTCATTGTGAACTCGTTAACCACGATTCACGTAGCAACCGAGACAGCCTGGGAAATGTTGAACGTATAAGAGTGAAGCTCTTAATATGCGAGCATTCTTGGAATGTTGCGAATGCTGGCTGGCGCAGGCAGCGATGCATGTGCACTGTGCACGTGGTGCGTACCGCCCGTGCATTCCCCATCCCCACTGCCGCTCACAGCGAGGCCACTGGACGCCCCAATTCCAGTGGCCGGGTAACAGCGCTGCCATCACAACTCCCCTCTCGCTCCCCCCTCTTCCCCATCCCAACCCCTCCCTCCCCACCCTACCCTCCTCCGTCCCCCGTGCAGGTGCCATTGCTGTGCGCGATAGACCCGCGGCAGCGCAAGGCGGCGGAGGCGGTGAGGGTGATTCGTGAGACGGTGGAGGAGCTGGTGGCGCAGTGCAAGCGCATGGTGGAGGAGGAGAATGAGCGGCGGGGGGACGACGAGGAGTACGTCAATGAGAGCGACCCCTCCATTCTGCGCTTCCTGCTCGCCAGCAGGGAAGAGGTAGGCTGTAGCGCCGTGGCCCCCGTGCCCCCCGTGCCCCCCGTGCCCCCCGTGTCCCCCGTACCCCCCGGTGAAGCAGCTGGTGGCGCAGTGCAAGCGCATGGTGGAGGAGGAGAATGAAAGTAGGGGCGACGACGAGGAGTACGTCAATGAGAGCGACCCCTCCATTCTGCGCTTCCTGCTCGCCTCCCGTGAAGAGGTGCGCTCCTTTGCAACGTGCCTCCCGTGCCCTCCCTCGCTTGTCCTCTCTGCGCCTTCCCGTGTCGCGGTGCTCAGCAGTGTGCACTGCCACACCCCGTGCTCTCCACGTGCTCCACACACCCACGAATCATCTTCCATGCGTCCCATTTCCCCCCACCCTTTCGCCGCACGCACGTGCATGGAGCAGGTGTCAAGTGTGCAGCTTCGGGACGATCTGCTGTCCATGCTGGTGGCGGGGCATGAGACCACTGGCTCCGTGCTCACATGGACCGTCTACCTCCTCGCCCAGGCACGCCACCCGCCCTCCCCACGTCTATAAGCCTCCCTTGCTTCGCTTGCAATCGCCCCTTCTCCGCACATTCTCCCACATTTCACCCATTTTATCGTTTTTTTCACTCATAGCCTCACTTTTCACTCATTCTCCCACGTTACGCTCATGCTCCAGCACATTCACTCCCCTTTCATACAGTCACGTCTCTGCTTCACCCCTTGACCATCCCGCCTCACCACGTTTCGCTGCCTCCCCCTTCCACGCCTGTACCCATCCATCTTTCCCCATGCTGCTGGTGCCCTGCCCTTGGCAGCACCCGGAGAAGATGGTCAAGGCGCAGGAGGAGGCGGAGAGGGTGCTGGGGGGGAAGAGCCATCCAAGCCTGGCGGACACGAGGGAGCTCAAGTACCTCACGCGCTGCATCAACGAGTCCATGCGCCTCTACCCCCACCCCCCGGTCAGTGCGCCTCTACCCCCACCCCCCGGTCAGTGCGCCTCTACCCCCACCCCCCGGTCAGTGCGCCTCTACCCCCACCCCCCGGTCAGTGGTAGCAATGTGACTAACATTGACTGTCCTGTGAGTTCATGGGGGAGGGCAAGGCCCTTCACGCTGCAGCAACGGGTGAGTGCAGCGCAGCACTGCACTTGTTGGCATTCAGCCTCCGCTCAGTGCATGTGATTGCCGCTTGTCTCATGCTATGGCGCGCTCAGTCCACAGCAACTGGTGCGCCATGGCATGGTGTGCTCGCATGCTGCATGCACTGCGTGCATCATTGTATTCATTCATACCCACTGGCACTGGTGGACACATGCATGCACGCACCAAGCAGTGCAGCTGCTGTTCTTTCGGTCCCTCATGCAAGCGTCACACTCCCTCTGCATCGCATGTGCCCCCTCCTGCATGTGCCGTCTGCCCTGAACGCCTGCCCCTGTGTGCCGTCTGCCCTGCCCGCCTGCCCCTGTGTGCCGTCTGCCCTGCCCGCCTGCCCCTGTGTGCCGTCTGCCCTGCCCGCCTGCCCCTGTGTGCCGTCTGCCCTGCCCGCCTGCCCCTGTGTGCCGTCTGCCCTGCCCGCCTGCCCCTGTGTGCCGTCTTCCCTGCCGGTGCAGATTCTGATCCGGAGGGCGGTGGTGAGCGATGTGCTGCCAGGAGGGTACAAGGTGCAGCCAGGGCAGGACATGATGATCTCCGTCTACAACATCCACCACTCGCCGCAGGTACGTGCTGCTCCCATGTCCACTTAATGCCTTCATCTCTGCACCTTCGATTCATTGACACACTCTCCTTCCCTGCTCTCATGTGCAATTGTTTCAGTTCTCCTCACATAGAATGTCACCAACCCCCATGACCTGAACACCCACCCTCCCGACATCAACCCCATGGCGTGGCCTCATTGCGTGGATGGCCACATGGCATGGCACGGCATGGCACGGCATGGCATGGCATGGCATGGCATGGCATGGCATGGCACGGCACGGCATGGCATGGCATGGCATGGCATGGCACGGCACGGCACGGCACGGCACGGCACGGCACGGCATGGCATGGCACGGCACGGCACGGCACGGCATGGCATGGCATGGCATGGCACGGCATGGCATGGCATGGCATGGCATGGCACGGCACGGCACGGCATGGCACGGCACGGCATGGCATGGCATGGCACGGCACGGCACGGCACGGCACGGCATGGCATGGCATGGCATGGCATGGCATGGCATGGCATGGCATGGCATGGCATGGCATGGCATGGCATGGCATGGCATGGTATGGCATGGCAGGTGTGGGAGCGGGCAGAGGAGTTCATGCCGGAGCGATTTGACCTCGAAGCTCCTGTGCCCAACGAGGTCAACACCGACTACAGGTGCCCCCACCACCCCTGCACTGCACCACTCAGTTTCGCCTGATATTGCCTGTCCTTGCAACTGCTTACCTCACATCTTGTCTCATTGTGTCTCTTGCATTAGATATCAACCCTTCCTCTTCCCTTTCCGTTTGTTGTCGCGCTTCTGAGTGATCCCTGGAGGGCACCGTGCCATGCCATCCCTGCTCATCACTCATAACCATACCCCCTTTGCACCAGGTACATCCCGTTCAGCGGCGGCCCGCGCAAGTGCATAGGGGACCAGTTTGCGATGCTGGAGGCCATCTGTGCGCTCTCCGTGCTCGTGCGCGAGTTTGACTTCGCTCTCGTGCCCAACCAGGACATCAGCATGACCACCGGCGCCACCATCCACACCAAAAATGTACGCATGCCACACGCTCTTACCGCACCTTACTGCACCTGTCTGCACCTGTCTGCACCTGCTGCAGCTTCTCACCGTTTTTGTGTTTGCTGGCTTTGCAGGGACTGTACATGACTGTCAAGGAGCGCACAAAATCACCAGTTGCTGCATAAGTAAAAGCATTAGAGTGCAGGAAATGATTCAAAGGTTTAGGATGCGAAATAAGGGAAAACCCACCTCGGCTTGACAAAATGGAAGAAAATGGTCAAAGCAATCTTAATGATGTGCTGGTACATGCAGTGCTGGTGATGCATCCAATTCTAGTGCAGTATACCAGTATGTAGATGCTGTATAACATGCAATTTCTATCGGGAGCTGACTGTAGAGTAAGGGATTGAAACGAAACTGGTATCGTTCTCTTGCCGCATCAGGGGTGCTTGGCTCCCCTGACGAACATTCTAAGAACGCGCTGAGACTTGCTTAAAGCCCACGTCGAGCCTCCAAATTCGTTATTGTGTACCGAACCTGGTAGCATCTCTTGTGCGCCCAAGGGTAAAAGAACGCGACACAGCTAGTGCGTTCGGACATTGATTTGCATTTTCTGTTACGGGCAAATTGGAGGCACCGCTCGTGCGAACCCTATCCGCCCAACCGAGGTAGGATAAGGGGGCGCACAACCAAAAACGGGCAGAGCTGAACGCCCGATTTTGGAAAAATTTGCGATGAAATCACTCACCACAAAAACATACTAAACGAGAGGCAAGGGTGAACCCAAAGAGCGAAGATTTGTGAGTGGTTGGGATGAAACTTTTTGAGCACCCTGGGCAGACTGGGCATGGTGAACGGTAAAAAACATGGGCTGTTGCAAGCCCGTTTTGTCGTTAACACCAAACTTCGTCGAGGCCGCGGGAGGGTTTACCCCTTCGAGGAAAACTCATCCCGCAGTGCCTGCGCAGAAGGCCCGAACTGCTTATTCGCAAACAGAACGATACCACTATTCGCAGGGCGCCTGCACGAGTCGTACCCTACAACCTGGCAGGCCCAGAGACTTCGACAGGCCTGCCTACAACTCGAGGGTGTGCTCTGGCAGCAAGTCTTGCGAAAATTATTCCATCGGGCGTGGTCGTATAATACGCGTAACCCTCCTTGTTTACCTCTGTCTTGTTTTTGTCGCTTAGCTAGAAAATCGTTTCACACGGAAGGCGCACTGCTATAGCTAGCTACGTTGTGCGCTGTAGCTGTTCGCAGCATATTCTAGGTTCCTGTTTGCCGATTGAATCTGTTCATCTCGCGAGGCGCGCGCGCCATGGCGGGCGAGCGAGAGGGCGTGCCGTCGGATTTGGAGCAGCGGCTGCAGCGCGCGTGGATGCACGTGCAGCTCAAAACGTGCCGCATCGTGCAAGGTCCTTGCGCTCCCGTCGCCCTGACTCCTATGCCGTACTTAATACTCATGGCTCGTGCGTGTTCGTGCCGTGTCTCGGTAACGAGATCCTTCTGTTTCCCCATCATTACCGCCAGTAGCGCAACATTTCTCTCATGTAAATCCATACTCCCCGCACTCCCCGTTCCTCCCCCGCGCTCCGTGCTATCGTCCCCGTGCTCCCCGCGCGTTCAGATCATCCGTGCGGCGGCCACCAAGGCGCGCACACGCACACGCACGGCGGCAACACGCGCGGCGGCGGTCAGCAGCAGCCGTCGCTACCGCCGCCGCAGCGCACGGCGCGGGATCTGACGGCGACGCTGCAGCAGCTGTGGGGCAACACGCAGGAGCCGCTCGTTCCGCCCGCTGACCCCCGCCAGCCCCCCCGTGAGCCGCGACCTCCGCCGCAGATTTCCTATCCCTGCTCCCTTCCGCCCGACACCTCTGGCGCCTCGTCGCAGGGCAATCGCACAGCCTCTCCCGGGCCGTCCGCGAGCTCGTCCTCCTCGCACTCCAATGGCCTCACGCCACGTCAGCAGCCACAGCCGGCGGCCGTGCCTCTGAACTCCGCGGGGCAGCCGTGTCAGCAGCTCTCCCCCTCCCCCTCCACCTCCACCGGACAGCCCAGCCCCGGCGGCTCCCCCGCGCCGTGCGCCTTCGTGCCAGGGCAGGCGGGCGGCGGCAGCGGGGGCGTGTGGCCGCGGCACGGGCCGAACTCGGTGGCGGAGCAGCTGCGCGAGCTGAGCGCGGCGGAGTGGATGGCGCGCGTGCAGCAGGTGGAGCCGGTGGCGCTGGGCGCGGAGTACATGGAGGCGGACTTCTTCCGCGGCCTGGACGAGCTCACCTTCGCCTTCGACGAAATGGAGTCGCTCCTCCCCCACGACCTCAACCCCGCCTTCCTCTCCGCGCCCCCAGACGCCTTCCCCGGCGCACCAGGGGACGCAGGCATGGGCGTGGGCATGGGCGGGGGAATGGGGACGGGCGAGGAGGAGCTGCTGGGGATGGCGGTGGACCGAATGGTGCAGACTAACCACGCCAGGGATGGCGGGCAGGGCGCAGAGCAGCAGGGCGGGGGAGTAGTGGGGGCGGGAAGTGCGACGTCAGGGGAGAGCCAGGGGCGCGCGGATAGCCAAGGGCGCGCGGAGGAACTGATGGCGCAGATGCAGCGGGCGGCGCTCAGCAGCCCGAACGGCTCCCAGGAGGGGTGGCAGCAGGGGCAGGCGCAGGGGCAGGTGCAGGGGCAGACGATGCAGCAGACGGCGCATGGAGTGCAGGCGGCGCAGCAGCAGGGGGAGCAGGCGGGGGGAGGAGCAGGCAGCAGTGGTGGCACGGGGCGGTCGTCGGTGATTGAGATGCTTCTAGACATCGCCAAGGCCATTGTGTCCGGCGACCACCTCCGCGTGAGTTGAAAGGGGGGGATGAGAGGGGAGCGGATGAGAGGGGAGCGGATGAGAGGGGAGCGGATGAGAGGGGAGCGGATGAGAGGGGAGCGGATGAGAGGCACGGGGCGGTCGGCGGTGATTCAGATGCTTCTTGACATCGCCAAGGCCATCGTGTCCGGCGACCACCTCCGCGTGAGCAGCCTGCCACGCCGTGTGATTGAGCGGCAGCAAGGATGCGAGGCAGCGAGAAAAAGAGGCAGCGAGGAAAAGAGGCAGAGAGAATAAGCGGCAGAGAGAATAAGAGGCAGAGAGAAAAAGAGGCAGAGAGAATAAGCGGCAGAGAGAATAAGTGGCAGAGAAAATAAGCTGCAGAGAGAATAAGCGGCAGAGAGAATAAGCGGCAGAGAGAATAAGCGGCAGAGAGAATAAGCGGCAGAGAGAATAAACGGCAGAGAGAATAAGCGGCAGAGAGAATAAACGGCAGAGAGAATAAGCGGCAGAGAGAATAAACGGCAGAGAGAATAAGCGGCAGAGAGAATAAACGGCAGAGAGAATAAGCGGCAGAGAGAATAAACGGCAGAGAGAATAAGCGGCAGAGAGAATAAACGGCAGAGAGAGTAAGCGGCAGCGAGAATAAACGGCAGAGAGAATAAGCGGCAGAGAGAATAATCGGCAGAGAGAATAAGCGGCAGAGAGAATAAACAGCAGAGAGAAAAAGCGGCAGAGAGAATAAACGGCAGAGAGAATAAGCGGCAGAGAGAATCAACGGCAGAGAGAATAAGCGGCAGAGAGAATAAACGGCAGAGAGAACGGTAGAGGGTGAGAAGGGGAGAGCCGGAGCAGATGAGGGGGGAGCAGGTGAAGGTGAGGAGGAGAGAGGGTACATTGAGGTGCTGTGAGCGACAGTTTGATGAGAGGGCGTTTCACTCAGGTGCTTGACCTGCTGTAGCGCCCTCAGGTGCTTGACCTGCTGTAGCGCCTTGCAGCCATTTCCCCCATCGCGTCACACACGCCCCCGTGCTTCTCCTCTGCCCTCCCGCCAACCCCTCCCTCCCCCCGCCCTCAGGTGCACGTGTTGGTGGAGCGCCTAACAGCAGTGGCGTCAGTATACGGGGACGCCACGCAGCGAGTGTCCGCCTACTTCCTCGAGGGGCTGCTGGCGCGCGCCTCCGGCACGGCGCCCACGGGCCCCGGCTGCCCCGGCAGTGACGGCGCCGGCGCAGCGGGCGCGCTGGGCATCTACCGCTCCATCGACTGCGATGCGCCGCTGCTGCGCGCCTTTGAGGTCAGTCCGGGCTGCTTCAGGGTGAGGGGGTTTGACGTGAGGGGGGCCGTGAGGGCCCTTCGGGTGCAGCCAGGGTGCAGCGGGTGCGCTGTGAGGGCACATGTGTTGCAGTGGGCGCGCTGTGAGGGCACATGTGTTGCAGTGGGCGCGCTGTGAGGGCACATGTGTTGCAGTGGGCGCGCTGTGAGGGCACATGTGTTGCAGTGGGCGCGCTGTGAGGGCACATGAGGTGCAGTGGGCGCGCTGTGAGGGCACATGAGGTGCAGTGGGTGCGCTGTCAGGGCACATGAGGTGCAGTGGGCGCGCTGTGAGGGCACATGAGGTGCAGTGGGTGCGCTGTGAGGGCACATGAGGTGCAGCGGGCGCGCTGAGCATCTACCGCTCCATCGGCTGCGATGCCCCGCTGCTGCGCGCCTATGAGGTGCGCTCTCTGCTCCAGAGGGGGCGGCTTGGAGATGAGGGGGCGGCTTGGAGATGAGGGGGGGATTGGAGATGAGGGGGTCGCTTGGGAATGGGGGGGGGGGGGGGGGGAGATGAGGGGGGGGTGGGGATGAGGGGGGGGGGGGATGAGGGGGGGGGGTGGGGATGAGGGGGGGGGGTGGGGATGAGGGGGGGGGGTGGGGATGAGGGGGGGGGTGGGGATGAGGGGGGTGGGGAGGAGGGGGGTTGGGGATGGGGGGGGGGTGGGGATGAGGGGGGGGTGGGGATGGGGGGTTGGGGATGAGGGGGGTTGGGGATGATGGGGGGTTGGGGATGAGGGGGGTTGGGGATGAGGGGGGGTTGGGGATGAGGGGGGTCCCGTAGGGCCTGTGAGGTCAGATGAGGTGCCATGGTGCTGTTGCAACGTGTGAGGCACGGCAGTGGCTGTGAGGACGCATAGTGTTGCTGTCACCTTGTCAGGCATGTGCTGGAAGGAGGATTGTATCAGAAGGGGGCGGGTGGGTGGACGCTTAAGTGCGTTGACAATAGCTTCGCACATCACCATGTCCCCCTGTCCTCACGGCACCCACTCCCACCAGGTGCTAGTGAGTGCATCACCGTACCTGACGTTTGGCCACGTGGCGTGCAACAGCGCGATACTGGAGGCCATCCAGGGCGCGCGGCGGGTGCACATAGTGGACTTCGGGCTGGGCCACGCCGTGCAGTGGCCACCACTCATCCAGGCACTCGCCGTGCTGCCGGGGGGCCCGCCGCATCTGCGCATAACGGGCATCGACCGCCCCTTTGTGGCGGGCATCCACAAGGGCTACTGCCTTCGCCAAGCGGGCCAGCGCCTAAGGGTGAGTCTCTCCCCCCTCTCGCTCTCTCCCCACCAACTGACTGCTTGCTTTCTCTGTTTTCCCGTTTGTCTTTCCTTTCACCTTCTCTATCGCTCATAGCACATGCACAAAAGGTAACTCACATCGCAACTTCCACGTCACTCACACATGACGCGACCTTCCTCTCCTGCCCCCCTCCCATCCCCTCCCTCCCGCGTTGATCGCTGCAGAAAGTGGCGGCGAGCTGGGGGGTGCCGTTCACGTTCAACTTCATCCCCATCAACCTACCAGACCTGCAGCCATCCATGGTGCGCTGCGAGGCGGACGAGGTGCTCGTGGTCAACTGCGCTCTGCGCCTGCACAACCTCATGGACGAGTCCGTCACGCCCTCCAACCCGCGCGCCGCCGTGCTGCGCACCATGCGCGCGCTCGCGCCCGCGGTCACCACCCTGGTGGAGCAGAACACCAACCACAACTCGCCCTTCTTCCTCAGCCGCTTCCTCGAGGCCCTCCATTACTACGCGTCCATCTTCGACGCCCTCGATGCTTCCGTGCCCGCGGACTCGAGCGAGCGGCGGCTGTTTGAGCAGCGCGTGCTGGGGCGCGCCATTGTGAACGTGGTGGCGTGCGAGGGGCAGGACCGCACGGAGCGGCAGGAGCCGCTGGGGCAGTGGGAGCGCCGCGTGCACCGCGCCGGGTTCGTGGGGTACCCGCTGAGTCGTGAGGTCGTGGCCACCGCCACCGCCCTGCTCTCCACGTGAGTGTGCCGTGCTGTGTGGGGCCCCCTGTGGCGTGCGTGTGGTGGGCTTGGCTGATCCATGCGTGGGCCGCTTGTGATGCCCCTGTTCTGTCCCGTAGCTCTCTCTGTTCCCCCACTCAGCTGCTGCCTTCCCCTCCCCCATGGCAGGTACAAGGGCCCGTACTCTTTGTCGTCAGAGCAACCCAACAGCCTCACCCTCAACTGGAAGGACCAACCACTGCTTGCCATGTCAGCGTGGCGGCCCAACAGCTAATCACAGCACATTGCGCACGTGTGGATGTGAAGTGCCATGTGGTGATGGGCGGCACGATGCCGAGGTGGTTGTGGGAAAGGAGCACCAAGTTCTGTTGCCTACTGATCTAATTGATGCATTTAAGGCACAGACAGGGGTGTGTGTGTGGTGGTGTTGCACCGCCGCAGCTGCACAAGACATGCCAGTTTTGCATGGTGATGGGCGATGATGGACCTACCGTATTGGCTGCTTTGAATCAGGATTCTGGAGGACCACTCCTGAGTCCTGACCCTCCCCAGCAGTCAACACCTTTCACTGGGCTGGAGCCTTTATTGTTTTCTGTTCTATGTTGGGGAAAGCTCTAATGCCAAGTTTTACAATAGTTGTGGCACTCCTTTCAGGATGTGCCAAGGCACTTGTACATCTACTGTATGTGCTAGTTGTCTTGCATGTACATGTGATGAAGATTCATTCAGTGTTGGGAGGATATGTTCGCACGCCCCTGCCAGGAATTCGTATTTGTGGTTTGCGACGCTCGTTGTAAGGATTTACAAATCCTTACTGAGGCGCTCGATAGCGAGGCCATCCCGAGGGCCACGCGAGCCTCTGGTTCGGCCTACATTTTCGCATCCCAACCTCACCGAGCCGCCTCCGCACCAATCGCGACACTTCGCGAGCCAACCCTACCACACCATCCCCGCCTAGCTAGGTTTTCCCCTATTTAGGCCTCGCTACTTCATTGTTCAGGCATTTGGTAATTCAACATTCTCGTTATTCGATATCTGCGCACTCTGACAAGTTCATTCATAACACCTGGTATCAGAGCTACTTTCCTAGCCTACCCCGCTTTTTAGAGTGTATTACCCCTCGAGGGGGGACGATGAAGGATGTATTGGGGTCCAGGAGTTGCCTAGGCCGGCTTAGAGAACGGGTTAGTTGCTCTTCGCGGCCATGGATTTTTAGTGCACTCCTCGGCACCGCCAGATCCTTGCCTTCGACGGTCGCGATCGACCGTGGCCTCCCTCCCCCCGGGCAACGGACAGCTGGAGCTGTCGCGACATCGAACGTGAGTTACTATTTCCGCTGCGGTTTTAACGACGATTTCGAAACTGTGAGGCAGCTGGCGTCAGCGGATCTGCGTCGGCACCTGCACGAAGATTTCGGAAGTCGTCACGATGTGTGGCAGTTGACGCCGTCGGACCCGAGTCAACAACTGCGCGACAACTTCGGAGTCCGTCCCATGCGGCAAGTGACAACGGTGGCTCGTCGTCATCATGCGCGCGCGACTCACGGAGTGTGGCTCGGCAGCTGGCGACAAGGAACGTGCGTCACTGTGGCGAAAATTTCGGAGCTTCTGTTGAAGAAAACGTCGGCTGGGGAACTCGCCAGGCGCAAAAGGAGTTTGCGTCCGAAAAAGTCGGTGGCGAGGAGAGACGACACAAGACTGCCCGACTTAACGGGAGTTAACTGCCGTCCCGCCCGACCTGTTAAGTGCGGCGGCTTTTACCGCATTGGCGGGCGCGTCATCAACTATTTTCGGCAGGAGTGCTCGTGGACAGACGGGGCTTCATACCTGCTGACGCTTACGGGCTGCAACGGAAAACGCGATGGCTAAACCGCACTTACGAGGAGTGGGACGCAGGCGACGAGGGAAATCGGGGCAGGTACACCTCGAAAGAACTCGTGCGACGCTGCGTGCCTGGTGTTGTTGCAAGCTGGCCGGCAGTATCGAGAACAGTTTCCCCTGACCAAGGATGTTGTTTTCGGGGACAGCTGCTGACAACCCACGGTTAAACGGTGTCCAAGGTACCGCCCGATAATTTCGGAGGGGTCGGTACAGGCTGCCGGGACACGCGAGAAGAAACGGCCCAACGGCTAAGCGGGGGTTGAAGAACGTTGCGGGGGCAGATTAAAAGCCGGTGGAATCGCTCTGCGGCCCTACTTCGCCCGAACCTCACCATCCCCACCAAGTCCTGGTTCTGACTCATGCAGTCAACCTACTTGGCCGAATAACGGGGGTGAACACGTGGCCTACCCTGCGCTGGTTAAAGGTACCGGGTTTGGTGCCCGTTCGACAGCTGTACAGAAAAATACAAAAAAAAAAAAAAAAAAAAGTGGAGCTCGCGGCACTGTTCTACTCCGACAAAAGCGGGCTGGGTGAACGGCACGCGAAAAAGTCGGGGAGCTGCGAAGAAGAAATGGTGCAGTCTACTGGTTTCTCCTGACCCGGGCGTCTACACGAATCGACGGCGCAGCGGCGAAGCTGAGACCGGGAAGCTGTGGATTTTACGTGACGTGATAGGCACGGCGGGCTGCAAAACGGTTGGGCGACAGTTTCCTTTTAACTAAGGCTGCCCCGACTCCGATAGTTTTTTGCTTCTACACCGTGGCCGAGTTCGCGCGGGCAACAACGACGATACCCCATCCGACAAAAGCGGACGCTGGGTGAACGGCGGGAAGCGGAATTGTCGGGGGGTGAATACGAAAAAATTGATGACGGAAGGGAAAGTTGTGGGTGATCCAGCAGATCACTTGAGTGATAGGTTGAGCCCGTGCACCAATCTACCGCGAATTTCGGAGTCTATTCGGTAGACCCCCGAAAGGGTTTGATATCGTTACATGGAGGCGCGGCGAGCGGTACATTGCCAAGGATACCTGGGATTCGCTAAGTAGTTCCGGCGGGTACGAAGATGGGTGAACATCGGAGTACCAGGGAAAAAACGGCGGAAACGTCGGGGCTATACGGCGGAGAATAACTTCGGGACTGCAGCCTCAACCACGCTTTTCGGGGTTATCTTCTTACGAAAAAAAAAAAAAGGAGTTGAAGCTGAGGGTGTTTTCTTCGTTTCTTGGAGTGCGGTTGATACCTAGGACCCACGGGTGTTTAAACGTACACCGCGGGAAATTCTTCAGGGAGCGTGGGAGCAGCCGAGGTTTCGTGATTTACCTGCCGGTGACGCGCGATGAGGTGAAACATCGCAAAGCGCCAGTGGGAGTTTGCGTGGTTTTCAGTTAAGCGACATCGACGGGAGCAGTTTCGACGACGGGGTCAACGGCGTTGATGCCTCTAGGTTCCGTGAAATTCGGTCTCGGAAGACCCAGGGCAGTCCCCGGTTCTCGATTTAACCCACATGCTGGGGTCGGGTAACCGAAGGAAACTGATGGTGACCGGGTGGGCGGCTATAGCACGTCTGAGATTTTCGGAGGAGAACTGCACCTAGACCTGTGGATTTACGGGGCTACTTCTCGAGCGACGATTTCGGAGTTTGACGAAGGACTTCACGGTTTTACGGCGAAAGCGCGGCAATTTTGTGGCAGTACTTTCGAAGTTTGGTTACACGCGCGCGAAATTTACGCAGGGCAACGGCGCGGGAACTACACGGACTTTTCAAGGGGTACGAACGACTTACGACGAACTGGAGAAGGCGGCGGCAACAGTGAAGGGGGGGAGAGACAGCTGCAAATTTTCATGACTGCCCACGAACTCTCGGCGGATTACGACAAAATTCTTGGAGAATCCATCCCAACTCTGCTTCCAACAACTCGCCATCGACCCGCCCACGACAAACATATTTAATTTCAGCCACGTCAGGTGCTGCCAGCTGCAACTGCTGCGGATGCTGCATGATTCTGGCGATGTGAAGACAAAAAGCTTCAGTTCGAGTACTCGGCAATTTCGGTTTCGGTTTCTGGTCTACTTTCGCTGGTTCGCCCTTGACGACTTTTGGGCACGTAATTCCTGGTTTCGACATCGACATTTCCACACCGACGCATTTTCACTTGGGTTCCTTCCATCAACGGCTTTCTTCGTGGGACTTAACACCTGGACTTTTGTAGGTTTTTCCTCTCGGCGCAGCAGTGAGCAATTTCTGGTGTAATTTCTTGGAGTGGGGGAGAAAGTGCTTCGCACTGTTCTTTCCTTGGCGTTTTCTTGGTCCTTTTCTGACTTTGTCAGGTTGCGTCAGCACGACGAACGACTACGATTGCTGCTTCACGATCAACGATCCCTACTCAATCGCGTTTGAATTCGCGTCAGCAGGTTCCCTCCAAAATCGCATCTGCCTCGACCGTCAGATTCGCTGCTGCTCGATCAACGGCCCACATTCCAACTTCCACTTCATTTTGGGCCAGCTCATCCTCATCCGTCAGATCGACATCTGACTGCATCTACGGCCCACAATCCAACTTTCATTACATTTGGGCCACTTCATCTTCGACCGTCAGATCGAAATCTGACAACATCAACGGCCGACATTCCAACCTTTTCAACAATATTGTCTGGGGCATTTCAGCCGTCGGATTCAGCTGAAGTGAAGATCAACGGCATCCTCGCTACTGGGTGACCCTTTTCAGTACAGGGCTGCCTTATTTAGGAGGTGGGAGAGTGTAAGGATTTACAAATCCTTACTGAGGCGCTCGATAGCGAGGCCATCCCGAGGGCCACGCGAGCCTCTGGTTCGGCCTACATTTTCGCATCCCAACCTCACCGAGCCGCCTCCGCACCAATCGCGACACTTCGCGAGCCAACCCTACCACACCATCCTCGCCTAGCTAGGTTTTCCCCTATTTAGGCCTCGCTACTTCATTGTTCAGGCATTCGGTAGTTCAACATTCTCGTTATTCGATATCTGCGCACTCTGACAAGTTCATTCATAACACTCGTCGACGTCGCAACCAGGTCGCACCACAGATACGATTTTCTCCATCCCCTTTTCCAAAAAGTTGGGCAGCTGGACGCATGTGTGCGATTCGACTCCGAACGATGAACCTAGGTAACCCTGTGCCTTCGCTGGGAGAACCCAAGGGTTGCGCGCGAACCCCAGGGGGACGGACATTTGAAGAGAGCAGATCCGCATGTGTGTCTTGCGCTGCGCTTTTGCACCACTCCCCTTCCATCCCCCACCTGGATGTCGTCCTTTTCCCGCCGATCCCTCACGTCACGCGCTCCTTGCGCTCATTTTGAAATCCTCCTCCATCATCATCACCCCCCCTCCAGCTGTTGAATCCGCGCCCGCCATCTCCCCAAACCACTTTTGCTGTCCCTTCTCTTCCCTCCCATCCACGCAACTCCGTGATCTCGACTTCAACCAATGAGAAGATGCGCAGGCCACCAGTCACCATCACCAGCCACCAACTTCCGTCTTCTCTTGAGCAATTGAAGGAGAATAGGCAGGAATCTACAGCCTTGGGCAAATATAATTGGGGCATTGGTTGCGGAAGAGCCATAGGTTATTTCGAAGCATTCTGTGACAAGGGCAGGTTTCAGCTTGAGTCTTTGTCGCCATGAAGCGAGCTTATAAGCCGCGAGTATTCAGACGTTTCTTTGGGAGGCAATGGAGATTGTCGAGCGTCATGGCGATCCGGATGTGAAACATTCTGATAAACCTTCATGAACCGTCCTGATCTCGCGTCTTGATAGAGTTTCGCGCGGCTCAGCTCGGTCACCTCCCCTGTCACCCAACAATGGCAACGCTGGGCCATCGCTCCGTGTCGCTGCCGCAGCTACAGCCGTGGATTCGCGGCGTCGAGCACGAGGAGCGCGGCAGCGAGGCTGTTCGTGACGCGCAGTGTGGGGAGCCGGGCGACGTCCCTGAGCGCTTGCATTCAAACAGGCCGGACGATCAGCAAGGGCAGCCGCAGCAGCGACAGGTGCAGCAACAGGAGGAAGAGGTGCAGCAAGAGCGGCAGCAGCGGGAAGAGCAGCAGCAGCAGCAGCAGCAGCAGTCTGTCAGCGCTGTGCTAGGTCCTCGGTCCGTGGCCGTCTCGCTCACCGTCGACCACGCCTTCGGCTTCGCATCTCCAGCAACCCTCCCGCCCGCAGTGCTCTCCGCACTCGCAGCGCTCGCGGATTCAGCGCACCACCAGGCCGCCGGGTGCTCCGCGCACACCGCGGAGAGGACGGCGGACGGCGCCTTGCCTCCCGCGCTTGAAGGCATCCTGCGAAATGCACCTCCCGCCGGCCCAGGGGACACAATTTCGGTTGATGGGTCGGCTGTAGCAGAGAGGTATGGGCAGTGGAGCGGCGAGAGCGGGTCCTACTCCTTGCTGCTGCCCGCTGCTGCCCCTGCTGCTGTCACAGCAACCACTGTCAGCGCATCTGACAGTGCAAGCCCCCCGGAGGCCCAAGAATTAGCAGCTACAGCGGCATCAGAAACAGCCGCATCAACAGGAGCAGGCGCCGCAGCAGCTGCTGCAGTGGCGGTGGACGCTCAAGCAGCGAGTGTGGAAACATTACAAGGCGCGCCAGCAGGCAAGGCCAGCAGTTGGGGACTCGCCAGCGATGCGCCTGCTGCCGTGCCATCCGTTGTAACAGCCGAGGGGGATGCAGCGGCGGGCGAGGGCGAGGAGGGGGCGGAAGCAGCGCTGCTGGCGGTGGAGGTGCGTTGGAAGGGCGCGCGCGCGGGGCTGATGGGGTCCATGTTCGGGCGCGCCGTGAAGCGCGGGTGCAGCAGCGCACAGCCCCCGCGCGGGCCGCACGGCATGGTGCGGTGGGAGGAGGGCTTCGCGCACGACTGCCACCTGCTGCCCTGCCCCGCCGCCCTGCGCGCTGCTCGCGGGCAGGGCGAGCCGTGCGGCAAGGGCTGCCTGTTCCAGCCGTGGGAAGTGGTGCTGCTCGTGCACAAGGTGCGAGTCGTGAGGGGCGCGCTCTCACTACTCCAGTGAAGATTGTTCCATGTCTCTCGTAACATAAGCGTGCAATTTCGTGTATTTTTCCTACATATTGTAGCCCTAGCTCTTGCTAAACCTTACCTGTCCCACGCCCACCCTTTCCCCCCGTTTGTCGCACTACAGCACGCACCCAGCAGGCCCAGGGAGCGAGCGCAGCAGGTGGCGTCGGTGGTGCTGGACGTGGCGCCGCTCGCCTCGCCGCTCTCCACGCAGCCGCTCACGCACCACCTGCTGCTCCTCTTCGCGCCCCCCGACTCGCCCCCTGTCGGCCTGCTGCAGGTCGCCACTCACGCCCCTGCCCCTGGCCCCCCGCACTGCCCTACACCTGCACCGTCTCACCACCCCTTCTATTCAGCCATAAACTCGCTTTTCCGTTTCAGCATGCGACTGTGTGCCAACAGTACCCTGAGGCGTGTCTGCTTGTGTTGGTGTGTGCTGCTGCGCGCTGGGCAGGTGACAGTGGAGTGCACTCAGCTGCCGCAAGCAGCATCCGTCCCCCCATCCCCAGCCACACTCCATTCAGCAGCACCAGTCCCGACCCAAGCCTCAGCACCGGCGGTAGTGGCAGCCACACCAGCCGCGGGCGCGCCAGCAGCAGCAGCAGGGACGGGAGTGAGGGAGGCGGGGGGTGGCGGGGTGCACCTGGGGGGGCTGTGGGGGTGGCAGCGGCGCAGCCGGGAGAGCAAGAGCCCCGCGCTGCCCCTGGGCGCGGCGGGAAGGGCGGGCGAGGGCGAGGGGCAGGGGGCAGCGGGCAGTGGCAGCGCGGAGCAGAGCAGCGGAGGTGGGCAGCAGGAGGAGGCCGATTGGGTGCAGGGGGCGGACGGCGATACAGAGTGGGAGCAGGTGGAGCGGAGGGCGAGTGATGGCGAGGGCGAGGAGGGGGAGAGTGGGCTTGGCGGGCAGGGAATGGAGGGGCAGCAGGCGAGCAGCGCGGATGGGATGGAGGCCGTGAGTGGTGGTGGTGGTGGTGACGGCCAGCGTGGGGTGGAGCTGAGTGCTGGGAACACACGGAGGCAGACAAGCGGTGCCATGGAGCAGCAGGGAGAAAATGGCGGCGCTGTGGTGGAGGGGGAAGGCGAGTCCCTGGCAGGCAACAGGGGGCCGTCTTGCAATGGGGACGTGAGCGGTGGCGCGGACACAGGCGCTGGCGCGAGCACAGGTGCGGGCGCAGGCACGAGCACGGGCATGGGAATGGGGCTGCTGGATGTGCTGCGGGGAGGGGTGTGGCGGCGGTCAGTGTCGGTAGATGGGGCAGGACGGGCGCGCGGCAGGCCCAGCGGGAAACAGGTGGCGGGGCTACTAGGAGGGAGGTATGATGGGGGGACGGGGGAGGAGGGCGACGAGGGCGAGAACAAGGAGCGAGGGAGCAACATTTTGTGGGAGGGGAATGGGGTCTTGACGAGTGAGCTGGCAGTGTGGGAGAAGGCAGGGGAGGATGCGGAGAGGGGGGAGGGAGGAGAGGCAGAGAGTGAGTGTGAGGAGGGCGAGGAGGAGATGGTGGCAGCGGAGGCGCTGTGCTACGGGCCGCTGGCAGAGGTGAACCTGGGCGGGCACGTGGGAGGACCCACGCACACACGCATGCGCATGCTGCACCTGCTCCCCCACGCCCTGCCCTCGCCCCCGCGCACCCTCTCCCTGCCCGCCTATCCCTCCCGCACTCATAGTGACACAGGGGAGGCTGCAATGCAAGAAGCGCATGTGGCACCAGTGGAGGGAGGCAGGGAGGGGGGAGGTGAGGAGGGAGCAGCAGGCGCAGGGGGTGTGGGAGGTGCAGCGGAGGAGGAGCAGCGAGCGACTGCTCCTCTAAAGTCCCCCTTAGCACCGCGCCTCTTCACCTTCACCTCGCCCTTCCTCTTCTTCTCCTCCACCCCCCGCCCGCCCCCTGCTCCCGCGCCCACACCCGACCTGCCCTCGCCACCAGCGCCTCAGTCCGCACCGTCAGCACCAGAAGCCACGTCTGAGCTCGCACCTGCTGCCTGTGGCGGCTCCACCCAAGGCGAGCAAGGCCCTCTCCCTGCCCAAGGCAGCAGGGACTCGTCCCCCATCTCGCCGCTCGACCCCCTTCCTGCCGACGCCCCTCCCCCTTCCAAGTCCTTTCTCCTTCCGCCCTTCCTCCCAGCCAAGCCCCTTGCTGCCACCTCGGCGGGGAGCGGGGGTGGGGGCGGAGGGGGTGCGGGCGTGGGTGCATTCCTGCGGCGGCCGCTGCTCTTCCTGCGCACGCTGTCGCTGCAGGAGAGGGGCGAGCCGCTGCTGCACAAGGCGTACGGGGAGGAGGGCGGCGACGAGATCGACTGGGACAGGCGCAAGGCACTCGAGGCGGAGCAGGAGCATCCCCTTTACAAGCTGCCTCTGGAAGAGCAGCAGGCAGCGAGTGCGGGGGAGGCAGAGGCAGGAGCGGTGTCCCCGTCAGCATCGAGCGTGCGGGAGTTGTTTGGAGACGAGTTCCGGGTCGGGCAGTGGGAGCGCCGCGAGGTGGTGAGTCGCGACGGCACGGCACAGCTGTGCGCACCTGTCTTCCTAGCAACAGTGGACCAGTGCCACGCCAGTGCCGCAGGCGAGGGCGCATGCGCGCTGCTGGTGGCGCACATAGCGGCGTGGGTGCATGCACACGGGGAGGGCACGCTGCCAGGGCAGGCGGAGCTGGACGATCTCATCCGTGCGGGGTCGGCGGACTGGCGGCGCCTGCGCGCCCTCAGCGACTTCCACCAACGCTTCCCCGATGGGCACTTTGACCTTGATACCGTGCTGGCTGCCGTGCAGCACTCCCATTCCCACTCCGATGCACCCCCTCATGTGCACACAGATCATGGCGGGCAGGCTGTGGGTGCAGAGGCCAACAGCCAGGCACCTGATAAGGATGGTGGAGGAAACACGGACCCTGGTGCCCCCCACTCTGGCAGCAGCAGCGGCGGCTCCCACAATGGTGGTGAGGCGGCAGGCATGCCCCGGCTGCCGCTGTGTGTGGTGCCCAGCCAGTCTTTCGTGGGGTTCTTCCACCCGCCCTGCCTTGCTGCCAGGCGCGCCAAGGAGGACGCGGCTCGCACGCAGGGCAGCAGCACAGCAGAGGGTGATGCCGCGGATGTGAACAGGGGCGAGGTGGGAGTGAGCACTGTGGATGAGAGCGGAAGAGATACAGACGAGGGGGATAAGGGGAAGGACGAGGAAGTAGTGGAGAAGAGCACACGCAGTTCGCCAGACGTAGAAGCTAAAGGCAATGGGGCTGAAGCGTCGTTGGAAAGAGGAAAGCAAGAGCAGGCTTCTTGTTTGGAGTGCGCAGAAGACGCGGGGGAGAAGAGCGTGGGGGAGAAGGGTATGGAGGACAAGGGTATGGAGCAGCTGGCGTTTCTGGAGGGCATGCTGTCGTTTGATGACATCTGGGAGGCGGTGGTGCAGGCAGGCGAGGGCGTGTACATCATGGCGTGGAACGACCACTTCTTCCTGCTCCTCCTGCGCCGCCCCCAACCCCGCCAGCACCAGCCCCACCACCAGCAGCACGGGCGTGCGGCGGTGCAGGCAGCACTGGATGGGGCGGCGGGGAAGCACACAGGTGAAGGCCGTGACGTAGCCCATGGTGGCACAGGGGGGGAGGTGAGTGGGGGCGAGGTGGAGTGTGTGGTGATTGACACGCTGGGCGAGCGGCTGCACGAGGGGTGCTCGCAGGCCTTCATGCTGCTCTTCGACTCCTCCTCCTGGGTGGATGTGGGCCTGCCGCCCCCAGCAGCGCCTGGAAGCACTGTTGTAGGTGGGGCAGGCGCAGCAGGAGGAGGAGGAGGAGAGGGTGGTGCAGGTGACGGTGGTGGGGGGCAGGCGAAGGTGCAGGGTACTGGTGACAGCAGTGAGCAAGGCGGCAGGGCAGACGAAGCAGAGAGGGCAGAGGGTAGGGCAGGCGGCGTTGGTGCTCAGGTGCCCAAGGTAGAGACAGGCAAGCGATGGGGTGTGAAGGCAGGCAAGGGCAGTGGCAAGAGTAAGGATGGCAGTGGGAAGGGCAAAGGCAGCAGTGGGGTAAACACTGGAGCAGGGGGGGTGGGTTCCCATCCACATGGGGTGAACGATACGGTGAGATGTGAAGTAGATGTTGCTAAGGGGGTAGACGTGAAAGAGGGAACAGCACAAGGAACGCATGTGGCAGAGGTTGAGGAGGTGGTGCCTCAAGCAAGGCAATTAAATGAGTGCATCACTCTGCTCCCTGCCGACACTCATGGCATGCCCACAGCCATCACTGTCACTTCAACCCATGTAGATAGTCCTTCGGCAGACACCTGCAGCCCACCATGCGGAGATGAGTCAGCATCCACTGCAGCTGACTCAGTGCTTCCTACAGCAGTGCATGCAGCCGAGGCAACATGTCTTCTGACACACACTGACGGTCCAGCACAGTCACCCATACACGAGACAAAAGCCAGCACCACCAATTTTGACGGGTGTGCAAGCACTAAGCAGCCCACCCAAACCGTGTCGTGCGCTGCTGGTTCGTCTCGTGCCTGCACCGCCACCGCCTCCCCTCCCACCTCGGCGGCACCTGCTTGTGGTGGGGAGGGCGAGGGGGACGCAGCTCCGGTGACCGCAGGGAGGAGGGTGTGGGGAGCGGAGGCGTGCCGCGAGTACCTCAAGGCGTTCCTGGCGGCGGTGCCGCTGGCGGAGGTGGAGAGTGACCTGCGCAAGGGGCTGCTGGCGTCACCCGAAGCCATCCACCGCCGCCTGCAGGTGGAGCTCCACTTCACCCGCCTCCTCTGAATATACGTCACACTGGCCATGATACGGCCTTACATACAGACATCTGCCCCATTGGCAGAAGGGTTTATTTTGTCTACCGTGTCATCGCTTATTCATCTCCGTTTAGTGTGCCAGAAGAGGGTCCACGGTCCACCAGACGGTGCTGCTTGTCTATTCCCCTAAATTGCTCATAAATTGTTCAAAAAAAGACCCCTGGTCTCAACCCATGAACGAGTTACTACCATCAAAACAGGCAGATGTCAGCGTGCGCTTGCGCCTACATTCTTGTGGGGACATTTGTGTCACAATACGGTAGTTTGTGGCGCACAAATACTGCATAAAATGTACGTCGTCACAAACGCGCGTCACCCTAAATGCGACTATCGCTGTATTTTACATTGGGCAGCATGGAACACACTGAAGTCGCGTACAAGTTGTCCGATGCCCCGTTACGGCTGTCGCCTCTGGCAAATCTTTGCATAATATAATTGCTACCCTCTTGGTTGTGACCAGGGCCTTTAGATTCACTTTTAGGAACGTTGATGCATCGAGGTCCCTATGTGAAAAAGGCTGTAAATCATTGTAAAAAAAAAAGTCTGAACTTCTAGAGTTTTCGAAAAAAAAAAAAAAAAAAAAAAAAAAACAAGAGGCGACGAAATCGTCTTAGGGTTGCGAAGCATTTTGAATAAACAACCAGTTTTATTCGTGTTCTGTCACTTAGTATTGATCCCATTTTGCAATATTCTCTTTTCTGAGTAAACTCTCTATAACGAGTACGAAACTCAGAGGCTTGAAAAACTGTTTCATGAGGGCTCGAACCTCGGACCATTCGACTCCTACTCCTGGTTCAAATGTCTGCACAACCGCTGACATGCGGAAAACGAATAAAATTTTTGTCAAATTGGTTAGCAGCATTTTCTCAACAAGATCCAAACTAGTTTTTCTCAACTAGCATTCGCGACAGAATCCAACTACAAAACCACTGCGCTAAACGAACTGGAATCGTTCAGAGTGTTTTACAGTCTTTTGCCTCAGATAAAATCGTCAATCTCTAGGGTTTCGTAAAATTTCTTTCTCTCTCTGCTCTTCCACCCACATACTCCTACTCCCGCCACTCAAGCTAGTCCAGCTCCTCAGGTAAGCACTAGTATCTCTATTCTCTCTATCTTCTCCGTTCCTTCTATTTCCTTAGGTTATGCTAGCTCTTTCTCGATTCTTCCTCCCTTATCCGTCTCCATTCTTCGATTTCCGTTTTTTATCTTCTCATAAATGTCGTTCCGCTAGGTAAGCTCCTAACTTGCAACTTAAACTCGTTCGATACGTATGTTTGTTAGGTCGACTTGATTCTATCCTAGGACGACTGAGATCTAAAATAGGTCGGCTTAGATCTTGTTTTAACACGTTTTTTTCGAAACCGTAGATTATTGAACGCTCTCTCTATCTCTCCTTCTCCTCTCGTATCTCTCGTTCTCTACCTCTCGCTCTATCTCTCTCTCTCTCTCTCTCTCTCTCTATCTCCTCTCTCTCTCTCTCTAGTCTTTCTATCTCTCGTTCTTTCTTTCTCTCGTGCTTATCTCTCGTTTTTCTCTCTCGTTCTTCTCACGTTCTTTCTCTCTCTCGTCTCTCTCTCGTTTTCTCTCTCGTTCTCTTTCTCAAGTTCTTTCTCTCTCGTTCTCTCTCTCGTTTTTCTTCTCTCTCAGTGTTCTCTCGACGTTCGTTCTATCTCTCGTTCTTCTAGCGTTATCTTCTCTCGTTCCTCTCGAGTCTCTCTCTCTCTCTCTATCTCTCTTCTCTCTCTCTCTCTCTCTCTCTCTATCTCTCTCTCTCTCTCTCTCTCTCGTTCTCTCTCTCTCTCTCTCTCTCTCTCTCTCTCTTCTCTCTCTCTCTCTCTCTCTCTCTCTCTCTCTCGTTCTCTCTCTCTCTCGCTCTCTCTCTCTCTCTCTCTCGTTCTCTCTCTCTCTCTCTCTCTCTCTCTCTCTCTCTCTCTCTCTCTCTCTCTCTCTCTCTCTCTCTCTCTCTCTCTCTCTCTCTCTCTCTCTCTCGTTCTCTCTCTCTCTCTCTCTCTCGTTCTCTCTCTCTCTCTCTCTCTCTCTCTCTCTCTCGTTCTCTCTCTCTCGTTCTCTCGCTCTCGCTCTCGCTCTTCCTTCCTTCCCTCCTACCTTCCATACTTTCTTCCCTCCTTTCACTATGTTTACTGCTTCAGTTTGTTGCTTCCGTTTTTGCTTCCGTTTCATGCTTCCGTTTTATGTTTCTGTTTTATGCTTTGTTTGATATGCTATGTTTGCTGTTATGTTTACCCTACATTGCCTGCCCTTTCAGCATCCGTAATTTTGTATCCTTACTATTCATGTTAACCACTTTTCTTTCTGTGATCTCCTTTTTCTCTTCATCTTTTTTTTTTTCTCAGATGTCTTGCTCATCAGGAAGACGAGTTCAATTTGTAGTTGTCACTTATAGGATTTAACATATTGTCATTTTTTCTTTGTTTTGCATCTTTTATGTATTATCGTGGGTTTCCGGCTGGGTTTTAAAACCTAAATGCAAAATAGTGAACCCGTCTCCAGCTTGAAAGAGAGCTTGTCGAGCGAAACAATTTTCAAACCAAACCGACAACTTTGCACTGTTTTATTGTGAGCGTTCGAAGAGATCGAACAAATCTGATTGGTTGCCGCCAAAACCGAAGAAAGAAAACACAGCACGTCAGGCGTCGCATCCCTGTTTGGGAGCCGCAGAACAGAAGCACTACGATCGTTTGTCACGTCCCTGCGATTTTTCGCCCAGTTTGGAGTTCAAGTTGGGCATGGGTGAAGTACTACTAGTTCTTCCGTTCATTTTTCCGTGCTTCTAGTTATCAGTTGCTTGTCTAGCCACATAGCCCTCAACTTAGGCTATTGTCACCGCAACTTAGACGCGTAGTGATTATATGGCATGATTGCGCAGTAATTGTGCCGTTTAGATCGCCCTCTAGCGGCCTCTTATCGCCCTCTCGCCGCCTCCGTCCCGACGTCGCGCTCGCTATCTCCCATCGCGGCCCTCCCCTCAGTTCGCGTCGCCTCGCTATCTCTTCCCCCCCATCCCGTCGCCTCGCTATCTCTCCCTCCCATCCCGCACGCCTTTCTCTGCCGTCTCTCGTCTTCTCTCACGTCGCCCCTCCCCTCCCGTCGCCTTTCCCTCCCGTTGCTTTCCTCTCCCCTCGCCTTTCTCTCCCATCGCCTTTCCCTCCCGTTGCTTTCCTCTCCCCTCGCCTTTCTCTCCCATCGCCTTTCCCTCCCGTTGCTTTCCTCTCCCCTCGCCTTTCTCTCCCATCGCCTTTCCCTCCCGTTGCTTTCCTCTCCCCTCGCCTTTCCCTTCGTCGCCTTTCTTCTCCCGTCGCCTCTCATCTCCCGCCGCCCTTCCTTCTCTCCCGTCGCCTTTCCTCTCCAGTCGCCTCTCCTCTCCTGCCGCCCTTCCTTCTCTCCCGTCGCCTATCTTTCCCTCTCGTCGCCCTTTCTCTCTCCCGTCGCCCTTTCTCTCCCGTCGCCCTTCATCTCTCGCGTCGCTCTTCCTCTCTCCCGTCGCCCTTTCTCTCCCGAAGCTCTTCCTCTCTTCCGTCGCCCTTCCTCTCTCCCCTCCTACCACCCACCTCGGCGCCCTCCCGTCGCCCCGAAATGCCTGCTCGTCGCCCTTCCTCTCTCCCCTCCCACTACCCACCTCGGCGCCTTCGCGCTCGCCCCGAAATGCCTGCCCGTCGCCCTTCCTCTCTCCCCTCCTACCACCCACCTCGGCACCCTCCCATCGCCCCGAAATGCCTGCTCGTCGCCCTTCCTCTCTCCCCTCCCACTACCCACCTCGGCGCCTTCGCGCTCGCCCCGAAATGCCTGCCCGTCGCCCTTCCTCTCTCCCCTCCTACCACCCACCTCGGCACCCTCCCGTCGCCCCGAAATGCCTGCTCGTCGCCCTTCCTCTCTCCCCTCCCACTACCCACCTCGGCGCCTTCGCGCTCGCCCCGAAATGCCTGCCCGTCGCCCTTCCTCTCTCCCTCCTACCACCCACCTCGGCACCCTCCCGTCGCCCCGAAATGCCTGCTCGTCGCCCTTCCTCTCTCCCCTCCCACTACCCACCTCGGCGCCTTCGCGCTCGCCCCGAAATGCCTGCCCGTCGCCCTTCCTCTCTCCCCTCCTACCACCCACCTCGGCACCCTCCCGTCGCCCCGAAATGCCTGCTCGTCGCCCTTCCTCTCTCCCCTCCCACTACCCACCTCGGCGCCTTCGCGCTCGCACCAAAATGTCTGCCCGTCGCCCTTCGTCACTCCCCTTCCATCACCCACCTCGGCGCCTGCGCGCTCGCCCCGAAATGCATGCCCGTCGCCCCTCGTTCTCCCCTCCCAACACCTTACCATTCCGCTATTCTCGTTCACTCTGCTCTCTTCGTGCGTTCTCGTTTCCGTCTCCCTATCCCTTTTTAATCTCTAACTTGAAACTCTCTGTTTCTTCCCGCATTCTGGTTTTCCTATGCTGTATTTGCCGCTCCAGCAGGTCCATGTCCAAGGCGTTTGTCGTGCGTGAATTGCACATGCAACACTTGTTGAAATTGGCACACCGTGTGATTGGGATTCGCCCGTCGCAAACTTGCACATGCTTGCGACGAATTTTGTAGTTTTTTTGGGAAGTCGAACGTGTGTGAAAAACACAACAGAACAACACTTCGAATTTCAGAAGCATTACAAAGTTAGTATCATGATTTCAAGTGGACCCACTAGAAGGGGGGGTGTCACTATTTAGCTGCTGGCTTTAAGCTGTGCATGCATCTGGTTGTTGTGAATATGTTTGCTTGTATGAGTGTGCATTCATCCATCATCTCATTAACAATGCATGTCTGTGAATTTTAAAAAGGTGCATCGGCTCTATCATTTTTACCCAAAGGTTCATTGGCGCGCCTGTCGGGAGCCCACTTGAACTGGAGATGATAGAGCGTTTTTTTAGAGTTCACAGATTGTGTTGTTTCATGTGACTACTGATTGTTAAAAAATTATGCTATTAGACATATATGTCTTATCTCGTACACGGGCAAAAATGCTTGAGTTATCTTGTAAACGGGATGGTTTAGGGTGTCTTATAAGTCTTATAAATGGAAACTTATTAATCTACTTAGATTTTTTTCCGTACTTCTTGAAAAAGAGTTCCTCATAATGAGTGTGGATGTTGCGAAGGTGCCACTTCGGCACCCACTGCCCGGGTCGCCACGTCATGGAGAACACCTGGAGAGGTAAATTTGGTAGGTCCTGGGTCAGCGCGTGGAAGAATTCGCGCTTCGCAAGGGTAAAAATGTACGCGTTATTTCAACTTTCGCTATAATGTATTGAAGTTTCGATTATAAGACATATATGTTAAATTAGACACAGGACACAAAAGGAGCCAGGATTTTTTTTTTTTTTTTTTTTTTTTTAGTATACAAAAGCATTTTCATATTAAGTCCCAGAAACTGGCTTCACGCTTTTGAAAGAGGAAAAGGGAAAGAGGGAGAAGGAAAAGGGAAAGAAAGACACCAGAAACAACTCAAACGCAACACCCATAAAAAGCCCCATAAAAATACTCCATAAAGAAAAAACCCAACCAGGATCCCCTACCAGACGTCCCATCTCGCACCCCATTCCCCCTCGCCCCCCCCCCCCCCTCTCCCCCCCAAGTCACATCTGCACATCCACCATGTAGGGGGCCTCCACCCAAAGAGGCCCGCCCTCCACCTCGACATCGTCCCTCTCCCGATCCACCAAGTCCACATTCAACCCCCCCATGGAAGACGCCGCCCGAAGCAGGATGACACGAGCTTGCGCCCGTTGTAACGCCACTCCGATGAGCGCCTTCAGAGACCCCAAAAGGTAAGCCGAGAGAAGAAAAGTGTCATCCTCCCGACAAGCCCCCCGTGACACAGCTAGCCCCACGTGCGCGTCCCCCTGCTGTCGAAGCCACCGCCGGAAGCGACCGCCGAGACACCCCCACGTCTCCACTATCAAAGGGGTGAACTGCACGCCTCGGTTCCGTGCAAGAAGAGGCGCGTAATCCCCCGTTTTGCGACGCTCCCACTCCTTTGCCGCCACGCCTATAGACCGCCCGCACTGCCCTAGCAGAGATGGAGACAGTGATAGCGGGTCCGCGACACTAATCTCTAAAGCATGAGCCTCCCCAGCCATTGGTCGTCGCACCGCTACGTCAACCCGCTTCCCCGGCAGCACCGCACTATCCTCCATCGTCACCACCCCCCCTGACGCCTTAGCGATCTTTGCCACCGCAAACTTCACCTCATCATGCACCCGAGATGGACCGTGTTGGTGCTTGCATCTCAGCGCATGATGCGGGTCTGCTGGGTCATCATACGCTGTGCCACAAACACACTTCCCCGCCACTTGCAGCTGCTGGATTGGGAGACCAAGCCGTATAGCAGCAGCAATGCCCCACTCCGCTGCAGTGAATGTGAGATCTGAATGAGCCGGAACTGCCGAAACCCATGCACCAGCCCCCGGGCCCTGAAGGGATGTGAAACGGGCCAGGGTGGCATCGTCACGAGCCAAGCGGCGGAGTGCCTGGAGCTCCTCAACAGCCAACTGCCGCTGCCGCGCCTGGAAAAGCCGAAGAGGAGGGGCCGCCACACACAGGGGTAAGTCCGGCAGCTCCTGGCGTATAGTCGCGGGCAACTGCTCAATGGCCTTGGCAAACCACGGGTCAAGAAGCTCCGCCCCCGCCGAAGTGGTGAGGTACTCTGCGAACATCGCCTCCTCGCCCGCCACCCCCAAATGTGCAATATCCCGTGCGGCCTGCGCCCACCCACAAACATAGGAGAGCGGACTCAAAGAGGCCGCCGCCCGGATCCCAAACCCTCCGAGGCGCACAGGGAGATGCAGCTGCATGCGTGCGCGCCTAGACCTGCCGGGATCCTGCTCCCAAGTGCCAGGGGGGAAAAGCTGCTCAAAGCAATCCTCCAGACAGCTGTCCCACTCTCTAAAGGCCTCCACCACCTCCGGCCGCGGCGGCATAGTCCGGGCCAGGTACATCGGCCGTGCTGAAACTGCAATAGCGAGGAGATGCGAGGCCATCTGGGGGTGGTCGAGCAGGGGGAGCCACGGCAATGGCGCCTGCAACTCGCGAAGCCGCTTCCGTAATCGGGCCCCCTCCCAATCCTCCTCCCCAATAGGCACGCCCACCACATATATGTCTTATCTCGTACACACAAACAGGTGTCTTATAATGAGGCTAGCCTGTTTATAAGAGACACCCGTATAGTAGACAACCCCTGTCTACTATTCAACACAGTCTTATATCCGGGCGTGTACGGTAGTTTTTGGGTCGTTAGCTTTCACGCATTTTTATCATTATAAATATGCATCATAGATTCTCAGTAACATGTAAGCATTATGCGTATCGAACATAAGGCATGCATTTACCATTTATCATATCATATCTTACACAATATATTGCATTTTATATAATATTATTTTATTCATCTACATTCACCAATCATTATACATTCACCAATCATTATACATTCACCAATCATTATATTCATCTCATCATATTATGCGCATATTATACGGTAGAAAATCACAACAAAGTTAATCACAAGACTAACCTAGTTGTCCAAAAAAATAAGTAACATTGCGCTAGTATAATTGAACTAGACAGGACCTGTTATAGTGTATGTAACTAGCAATTAGTACATCCAGTTTTTAATTTTCATATTTTAATTTAAATAAATAAAATATGAAAATGTGGAAAAAAAAAACTGGCAAAATCGACCGTAATAGGTTGCTTCGCAACCCAAAAAAAGAGGATGATTCTCACTTACATGATATCTTGGATATACGGTAAATGCAGTGTCAAAATCCCAGCCACTAACTGTCAGAATCACTAGGCAAGAATGAGTGCATTGAATGGAAGAATTGGGTACAAGTAGCAAACCCTAGTTGGGGTTGTACCCCATATTGGCTACCCCACTACAGCCTACAAGCATAATATAGTTTAACACACCCCCATAGGCAAAGTGGGGGAGAGCAAAGGGTCACAAGACCAGTCCAGCAAAGCAAAGCAAAGCCCAGGGTGGATCACAACGTCACCACACTCCGAGCACAAGTAAAAGGCCACAAGGCCAGTTCACATGCAGTGCTAGATATAGTACAAGACAAGCAACACAATGATCAAAACCTAGCAAGCAAGCAACAAGATATATATAAAGTACAGTACAAAGAATGTCAAGCAGTGAGCAAGTGAGGAAACGTGGACACAAGGCCTAAAGAAGTACAGTGCCGCTGATGATCACTAGGCGGGAGCGCCTTGGTGAAGATATCAGCAGTGTTGGCCTTCGAGTCCACGTACACAAGCCGAAGCTGACCGCGCTGCTGAAGCTCTCGAGCAAGAAAGTAGCGAAGAGCAATGTGCTTCGTCCTGTGCTCCAGTCTGTGCTCCTGACACAAGGCAAGAGCCGCCTTGTTGTCACCGTACAGAACTGGAGGAGAACTAGGCCGCTCTCCCAAGTCAGTCAGCAGGTAGGTCAGCCAGCGTAACTCCTGTGCAGCCATGGCTGTGGCGTAGATCTCAGCCTCACAACTAGAGCCGAGAACAGAGGAAGAGCGGGTGGACCGCCACGAGACAGAACCAGAGCCAAGGCTGAAGGTGTAACCCTGTGACGACCGCTGCGTAGCCAGGTCGTCCACCCAAGAAGCGTCCGAGTGACCAGTGAGGACAACTCTGTCACGTCCTCCAAGCACCAGCCCCATGCCTGATGTACTGCACAGGTAACGCAGCACCCTCTTAGCAGCCTCCCAGTGCTCTCGCCTGTGTCTCCCAGGCGCAACGTAACGAGCAAGGATGCTAAGAGGGTACGCGAGGTCAGGTCGCGTGCAAGTCATCAGGTACATGAGGCAGCCTACAAGCTCTGGGTACGGGCCACTCGGCTCTACGGACTCGTCCGAAGGTGGAGCTGAGAGCGAGTGGCTGGTAGCCAGAGGTGTGGCCTGTGGTGAGGAGAACTGGAAGCCGAAGCGCTGAAGGACCTGCTGCACCATGTGTGACTGAGTCAGGGTGATGGTGCGGCGAGCTCTGTCCCGGGTGATCTGCAAGCCAAGGTAGCTACGCAGTTCACCCAGGTCAGTGCAGGTGTGTCTCTTCTGCAGCTCCGACTTCACACGAGCGAGTGCCTCAGTGTCAGCAGTAGCAAAGACCAAGTCGTCGACGTACACGAGAATGTAGAACGGCGGCAGCGACGTGTCTGTGCGCAGAAACAGCGACGGGTCAGCAGTAGACGGCGCGAACCCAAGAGCCGCAAGAGTAGTCCTCAGTGTGTCGTGCCACTCACGTGGCGCCTGGCGGAGACCGTAGACTGGCCGGCGGAGACTCCACTGGGTACCAGGGGGAAACGACCCAGTAAAGCCAGGTGGGCGGCACAGCCAGATCTCCTCGTGCAGGCTGCCCTGCA